AATCAGTGAAATTTCTAAAAATCTTCACAAAACCCCTTCTAAGGATTATTTTAGTCTTGTACAAATAAATCCTGCAACAAAATATTACGTCATCATAATTATCATTTTTTAATGATTTACAAATGGAATTCTTTCTTTTTCTGATTATCAAAGTTATTTATAACATCTTGGTTAATCTGTTTGACACTTTTTTGTTTCTAAGTTATACAAATTATCACTGAGTGTTTTGATTAGTTGATCGATAATTTCATTAACTTTATAGAAAATAGCATGTAAAATTTCATTGGTAATTTACACTTTTCAATGTCATATGTGTCAAGTCTTTCCTAGTTTAGGACGAATCTTGTCGACCAAGTTGCCAAGTGACCACCAGTCTAGGTGACTGGACGTTGCAAGCGCACTATGTTGTGATAAGTTGGTGGTTAGAGGTAGTCATCAGGAAACTCTGGACCTAGGTTTCGTGCTACTTGGCAGTCATCAGCGAGGTGTACCCGTAATCTTGAGGTAACGGATGCTCCATGATCTCGTGTCACCCAGCTTCACAGTCAGAGACGTTACCACTGAACTATCCGGGCCACGACTAACCTTCTCTAGGATTGAGATGTATTTATAATTGATTGATCACTGGGTGATGATCCGTGTCATATATATCAGGTGCATCTTAGTGCAAGTCGAATCCGTCAGGGAGCATCATTTCTCTTAAGATTACAGGTATACCTTGCTAACGACTGCCAAGTAGCACGAAACCTAGTTTCAGGATTTCCTGTTGACTACCATCGACCACCATCTTATTGGAACATTTTTTGGGTTACAAGAAATTCATTTGATGAAGATAATTTTTTGACAAATCATATGAATTTCCATCAAAAACGATTCTTGTAGACCGTTCATTGTAAAGATAATCCATAACACAGATTAATTTATGTTCATTTTAGTTCAATTTTAAATAATCTTACAAATGTATGTCAGTACAATCATATAGGTTTGATCAACTCATTCCAAATACATGAAATCTTTATATTATTTTTAGGAAGTACCAATTTTTCTAAGTCAATTTCGTGATCGAAACTATTTGTCTACCCACTTTTGATGCGGAGGCTAACTTGGCTAATCTAGATTAAGACCATGACGCGATAGGCTAACCGGCTTAACCTTGAGGTTATTACACGTAAGTTCGAAGTGGGGTAGAGAGAAGAAAACTATTCTATCACCTGATTGGCTGACAAGCACACAAGTGAGAGAAGACAAGTCTACTGCAACACTGTTCCATTTATTCCCAATTCCGATCTGGTTCCCGATTTCCCGATTTCAGATCAGTGTAAAAAGATACATAAATAAATAGATGATGACTAACCTGATCACAATGTACAATAATTAGGAAAATACAATTACGTACAAAATAATACGTTTAAATTACAACAGCTTTGGAATACTAAGAAAGTTTATTCTTAAATTTGACTTAGCAACATCACTAAGTCTTCGTAGTACCTTACAGTTTGTTTATAAACATAGGAAAACAATAAATGCTGTCAATTAGTTAGTTAGGGATTAACAAACATGAATGTTAATTGGTAAATTCTAATAAAAAACTCTACTATCTGTATATTTGCAAAATGTCACTAATACAAACAAATATATATCAGAAGGGGTTTTGTGGAGATTGTAATAATTTCAACAGTTGAGATCATGAATCAGTTGAAGCTAGACCACCATGGAAAACCTCGAGAGGTTCGAACCCAACTGTTTTTGAAAGAAATAAATTACTTTTCAGAATCTTTCTATATTCATAATCAGTCATTAAGACAAAATAGCCGTCCAGTGCTTCCAGGTTTTCCATGATGATCTAGCTTTAATTGACTCATGATCCCAATTAATAATTGTAATATCCGCAAACCCCTTTCTATTACTAACCAACATATGCTCACTAATGACTGGCTTCAAAATGTATATCCTGGAGTTCTAGTGAGAAGCAGTGATCAGTGCACTCCAACCGGGTCTGTTGTGAGATTGTAACTCACTGAAGACAATTGTGGATGTGTCGCACAATTTCATGGATTAGTTGAAGTTATACATTAACACCGTTGCATCCCGGCTCAGTGGTCTAGAGGTTAGGCGTCCGCGCGTGAGACCCATAGGTCATGTTTCCGAATGCGCGAGGCGGGATCGTGGATGCACACTACTGAGGGATCCTATACTAGGACGAAATGGTTGTCCAGTGCTTCCAGGTTTTCCATGGTGGTCTAGCTTCAATTGACTCATGATCTCAACTATTAAAATTATTTTTTGTGTGTGACTTATTTACCAATAATAAACTGGTGAATGTATAAGTTAATAAAATATGTAGGAATTTGGTCACCATTTTGGTTAAACTATCAATCTATGTTTATATATATTTCAATAACAATCAGTAACGTTCAAACTGGAGTCAATAATGAGCCAATAATGATAAACATATTCATCTTTCATCACCCTCATATATATAAGTATGTCAATATCTGTCATAACATTGATTTTTAAATCTGATAAGTTATAAGCAGCTATTGATAATCTAACGGAATAAGATGAATTCATATTATTCTGTATTATCAGAAACAACCAACTGTGTGAGAGAATAAATCAGATTCCAGTGAAGGAATAAATCAGGAAGAAGCGCTGGAAGTGGATAGGATACACATTTAGAAAATCACCCAACTGTATCATAAAGGAAGCTCTCACATGGAATCCTCAAGGCTAAAGGAGAAGTGGAAGACCAAAGAACACATTACTCCGAGAAATGAAGACAAATATGCGAACAGTGAACAACAACTAGATAGAACTAGAAAAGAAGGACCAGGATAGAGTGGGTTAGAGAATGCTAGTTGGCGGCTTATGCTCCATTGGGAGTAACAGGCGTATGTAAGTAATATTATTCTACACCAATCTTCGTTCTTTCTCCCTTCAAAATTAATAATCAATATTCATACATTAATAAAATAATGTTTCTTTTTCTTCCCTTTTTTCTCTTTCAGAAAACAATTAATTTCAGACGAAAGTTGTTCCCGCTTTGTTTACTCATTTCTATGCGAAAATGTTTGTTTTTATTTTCTTCACTGAAATAGTGACGTCATCAAATAGGTTCCAATAACAATATACAATACATATTGTATGTATTAATGAAAGTATATCTAAATGAATATTGAAATTATGTTACTGATTATTTGATTTAAGTAATATTATAACTCTGTAGTCTACTTTAAGTTCTCAAGTCAACAGTTTACTATTTTAAGTATATATAATTCTCTGTATTATAAAGTCTTATGTCAGTTAGTTAGTTAGTAACTTAGAATCTTTAGACAATGTTGTTTTTCACATTAGTTCTAGATTAGAAGATGCAAATATTAGTATATATTGATCTATGAATACATTATTAATCGAGATAATCAAATTCATAAGTGAACAAATATTAAAAAAGTTAATTAGATTTGAAATTCCTGAAATGATACATTCATCACAAACGGTTAGAATGTAACTAATGCTCGCCCCCCCCCTTCCAGTCAAACAAGTTGGTGAAGTTTAGTAGGCCCTTCTGAATAGAAACAGGCCACATCGAAACACGGCACAACTACCGGGGCTAGAATAGTTGTTTTTGTAATCGATTGAAGTTTACCCTGTAGGGAGCAAACCCGCTCCGCTCTGCTAACGCGCTCGTTTAAAAAAGGGAATTGATTTTTGTACTTGTTGTGATTATCCTTACTTTGGGTACTTGTTGCACTGAAAAGCATTCTTGGTCTACTTTAACTAAAAGTACTTTGGTTAAAGTTTGTAATTTTTTGCTCAACTTTGTCCTGTGGTACCTTTTTTACTCCTTGACTGACACTAGTGTTCACATTGGGATCATTTTGTGTTTTAAACCTTTTTAATCAAAATTAAAATGGTTGGTAGGACTCATAAATGTGGACAACCAAACTGCTTGTTCCCCGTTGAGGAAGGGATGCAGTGCGATGATTGTAAAAAGTGGTACCATAAGATGTGTACACACCTAAGTCCTATGGCATACAATAGATGCTCGAAGCCTAACTCACATTGGCTTTGTATGTTCTGCTGTACAAATAAAAAGTTACTAATTCAGGAGGCTATGAGGCTATTGGCTTTGGCCTACAAGAAAAACGATGGCGGTAGCGCTGGTAACACGGGCACTGACGGTGAAGAATGTGTCAATGTAGTAAGTGCTGCTATCGCACCCGCTAAACACCCGACTGCGATTGACGGGAAAGTGAAATCTCCGTCAATGTTAACGAGGAGTGAAGTGCCGCTAGATACTGACATCGGCAATCATACATCTCTAGTCGAAACTGAAGACCTGGATAAGACTTTCACCGTTCCAAATAGTCCCGGTGTGGCTGTCCTGAGTGGTGATAAATGGAATTTAGTACGGAAAAAAAAAGAAATGAGAAGAAAAAAGTTGTAGGCAAAACACACACGAAATTGAGCGAAACATCCACCATTTTCTCTAGTTAGTTATTATCTCACAACAGACCCGATTGAACTCCACTAGTCACTGCTTCTCACTAGAACTCCGGGATATATCTGTTGAATCCAGTCACCTAGATGCTTATAAACTTAATTTACTAGTCAGTGAAATAGGACATTTTCTTATTGACTATATTGTTGTTGATTTGTTCGATCATTTCTTTAACTTCTTATCTTCTTGTATTCAACTTATCTACCTTGTTATTGTTAATATAAGATTTTGTATTGAAAACTAAACTTCATTACAAATTTCAAAGTCACAGGTTACTTATACATGTGAATGAAAAAATTAACTTGATTATTAACATGATTTGCTTTAAAATTTACTCTGGTATCCCTCGAAAAAAAGAAAAAGAAAAATCTGTCAACGATTCTAAAAATAAATTTTTTTGTGATGTAATTGTCATGGCAACAATTGAGTGTTACTTTTTTTTGTTTTTCATAAATTAAAAAGAAATGACATTAAGTTTAATTTATATTTGATTTTTTTATTATGAAGATGAATTTATTCCTTTAATTGATTTACGAAGATTTCTAATTGCTACACCTATGAATACAGCATAGATAAATGATGTAGTAAAACAAATTGATGATAATAATGTTATGTAATATTGTACGTATTCACTTAATTCATCAAAACAACCCTGATAGAGAATTAGAAAAAAAAGAAAGAAAAAAGAAAAAAAACAAAATGCAATCAATCATATGGAATTGATCAAAAAGGTAAATGATTATTGTGAATCGATAATCAAAATCATTGAACAAGAAATCTTATAATGATCTTGATGAAATATCTGGAAGAAATTGAAACGTTTCATAATAGTACAATTGATAAAAACAATTTTCAACTAATATTAAAGTTTCACAGGTTGAAATCATGAGTCGATTGAAGCTAGACCACCATGGCAAACCTGGAAGCACTGGACGGCCGTTTCCTCCTAGTATGGGACTCCTCAGCAGTGCATCTTCGTGGATTGGTTGAAGTTAGAAATTAAAACCGTTGAATGACGGCTGGCTCAGTGGTCTAGTGGTTGAGTGCTCGCGCGCGAAGCCAGTATTTCCTGGATTCGAACCACGCATGGTGCGGGATCGTGGATGCGCACTGCTGAGGAGTCCCATACTAGGACGAAACGGCCGTCCAGTGCCTCCAGGTTTTCCATGGTGGTCTACCTTCAGTCGACTCATGATTTCAACCTGTGAAATTTCTAAAACTCTCCACAAATCCCATTCGGATAATATTAAAGTCTGACCAGTTTTGGCAAAAAATTACCTTATAAATAATTGAAAAAGATTGGTTTATACTGGCACTATGACCGGATTGTACTAAATGGGCCAATATTGAGCTGTTCACCTTCATCAAACCTTTATTTAGCCACGCTGGAAGGTGTTCACGAGCAAGAAAATGTAAATTCCTAGAACACCGACCAATATACCTTGCTCCACGGCTGAAGCAGTACCCATCCGGATGAAGAAACCGGAGCTATGCGTACAGAAGAAATATATTCACCACTCCTCCTCCCTTGGCCAACATTAAGGCCGATTAATCAATCGTAATCTTAACTATTGAATGACCTAATTCATAAATCCTTGTATTATTATTATTATTATTATTATTATTATTATTATTCGTATTATTGGTTAAACATCATTAATCTCCCCTACACATGAATCATTCACTTCGCATTCATCCCTCCATATTACGTCTTACTTATTTGATCGAATTGCACTATTATTTCTCTCTCACCCTATTTGACCCATATTTATTCTGATCATGGATCTTAAATCTCAATTAATATATACACAGATTCAAGTTAACATTCTATCTGAGTCATATTAACATTAACAATTTTATTGTATTTTGTTTATCACAATCCTAAATTCAAACGATGTACTTTGCCCTTAACCTGGCCATTTTTTCGGATTATTAATTTGGATATATAACTGTAGAACCTGATGAGAATTTATCGAAAAGAATATTCTTCGTTCAAATACGAGTCTTCTAATATGACGGGGATCTTTAAACGATTAATATTAAAGTCAGAATCTTTAATACGAATGTGAAGACAGTCAGTTCTACTGTATGGAGTTGAAACATGGAGAACCACTACAACCATCATCAAGAAGGTACAAGTATTTATTAATAACTGTCTAAGCAAGATACTCAACATCCATTGACCGGATATCATCAGTAACAGCCTATCGTGGGAGAGAACAAACCAGTTTCCAACTGAAGAAGAAATTAGGAAAAGTCGATGGAAATGGATGGGATATACATTACGTATAACATCAAAGTGCATCACGATGCAAGCCCTAACTTGTAATGCTGAACAGAAGAGGAAAAAAGGAAGACTAAATGATACATTATGTCGGGAAATGAAATCAGATATGAAAAGGATGAATGACAACTGGGAAGAGCTGGAAAGGATTTCCCAGGACAGGGTTGGATGGAGAGTGCTGGTGGGCTGCTTGTGCTCCTCGACGAGGAGTAACAGGCGTAAGGAAGTAAGTCAATAACACTCGATGAAAATCGATTATTTGAGTTTAATACGATATTTGATTTATTTTAATCGATTTCAGTTAACTGAAGTTTATAGAAGTTGAGTATTGGCGCTCAAAAAGCAAGATCTTAGGTTTAATACCTTTTGGTTGATTTGTGACTGTTCACTATTATAGGGTTCTATACTAGAACAAAATAGCTGTATAGTCCTAACCGGTTTTAATTGATGGTCTAGCTAAGATCATTCAATGATTTAACTTATGAAAAATATTAAATAATTAATGAATCACATCAAATAAATAGAGAATAACATGAATTCAAGTTTATTCAGGCTTACAAGTGAAGAAGATTGTACGAGATGTGAAATTGTTTAAAATATTAGAAATTCATTCCAAATAGTTGATCAACTGAAAATGATTTATTCCAGTATTTTTTTCCACTGAAGATGTATTTTAACCTCATATTAGTTTAAGTAACATGCCAATGTTGACTCCAGAAGACGCTCATTTCTCTGCAGCAGATTTGTATTTATCGAATAAAAACAGCTGACAGTTATTTTGTATTATTTCTCGCATCGGCTTGCATCACTGGGTAAGTAATAGTGAGGTGTTAGGGAATAATGGTAAATCAGTTGATGGCGTTATGAATCTTCATCACCTGAGATGGTTGGGCCACGTGTTACATATGCCTGTACATTGATTGCCACGATGCGCAATGCTGACTAGTGTTGGAGACGGTTGGAAGAAAGTTAGGTGCGGCCAAACCAAAACGTGGCATCAATGCTTGAAGTCACTAAATTCTGGTCTGAGCCATGTTGGTAGATACAGACTACTTGGTTCGGGTCCTCATGACTATCGTAACCAATCGTTGGAGACAATGGGTGAAGTGGCTCAGAATCGACTACAATGACATAGGTTTGTACACTCTCTGTCTTCTCTTAAACTAAGAGATTAAAATTGCTTTATAACTTTCTTTCTTCCTGTACTACATCATTATACACAATCTTTCTTTAATGCATTACTACCATTGAAGTGACTGCCTCTATGAATTTGGTGTTCATCTTATTGTGCTAATTCGGTATGGCAACTTGGACCGATGCACATATGTGCGTGGTCTGACATTGTGACTGACTGACTAACTATTTTTCATTATATTAGTAACTATATGCATATCAGATGGGAATACATATTCTTGTCGAGTATCAGAATAAAATATAATGAGTATCTATATCTCTATCTATCTACATTCGTCTTGATTATTATTAATTGCATAAATAAGATACATCAGTGATATTGTTGTATCTGAGTTTAGTCAACGTATCTTGTAGGACGTTATTAGCTAACACTGGATAGAATGAAGGATTGGTGAATAACAATAATAGCAAAATGTTTATTATATATAACAATTTCAATGAACTTGGTGGGAATTAGTGTCGAAAGTGTCCTTATACAGTTAAGTGAACAACTCGTACAATAAGAAAGGAATTATGTATAAGCATGATTGTGAATATAACCAGTTACAATCACTTCTAATTGCTACCAGTGTTTAACGATAACAAAGTTTAGATATTGCATCTCAGTCTAGATTAAAAATCAATGTCTAAAAATCATATCTTTTCTTAGGTTTAGAATTTATTCAGATGTTTTCTTCACTTGGTGTTGTTTACTTGTATCATACCATTGTTATTTAGGACCGCAATTGATCAATCTCTCGTTGGTATGTGTGCATCCTATGCGGATTGCCTCGATATAGCCTTAATTCACAAGTTTTTTAAGCAAAGATGGATAGTGATCGATCAATTGCAGTCCTAAATAACAAGTAAAAAAATACCAAGTGAATATAACTTCACCCCATTTCACAAGCAGATAGGTATCAGGACTCAGTAGCTAAGTGAATAACGAACGTGATGGCATTTAAAGTAAACAATATTGAGTTCGAGTCCCAGAGTAAACATCAACATCTGAGATCCAGGTTCACCCAGGTGACGAGTTTCAAACAGGGAAAAACGCGCGTCCTGTATTCCACTGCTAGCCACTATCCATCTTTGCTTAGATGTTTTCATTTGTTACACACAACTCAAGTTCTCTTTTATATGAAGTAATGCGTTATTAGTTTATCATCAGCCGGAACTGTGTAACATATTACATAATGAAAAATCATTCACAATAAGAAGTGAAAAAACTAATTCTTTGGTTGTTTTTTTTTTCCACTTAAAAACTGATATTTAGCCTTCTTGCTTATCGACTTTACTTTAGTGTGAGTTGTTCGGATTTATATTCAAATCTGAAGTAGACAGTTTGCATAGTTAATTTGTAATATATTTCACTTAACCTAATGAACAGACTACAACGTTTAGCACCATCTTGATTTTCATTTAAAGTAATTACAATATTGATGTATTCAATTTACGATCCTAATGATTTTTTTCAGTTGAGTTCATAATGTGATTCATTTGATTTGTTACTTGATGGAGGAAGTGATCAAAAATACTTTCCTTTAAGTATTACACGAAATGTTGGTGTTTATTAAATGGTCCGACTAATGTATTTGCATAGATAAAAAGTTATGGTTCAATTATTTCAGTAGTCATCAATGAAATATGGTAAGTGATCATAACTATGAAAACTTCATATGATTTCCGGAATACAAATTAGATTCTCATGGAATGATGACTTCCAAATTATATCCACTAGAGCTCAATAAATGCTAAGACATGAGTTTAAAAGTTCTAATATCATGATCTGTTGAATAATGATTCAGTGTTTATGGCGATAAAAGTATTATGTGTCTAATTATCAGAATTCGAATGTATAGCGGCGTTCTACTGTTTAGTCAATTTTAACAAAAGATTTTCGACAACTTGGAAGTCAGCTTCGCAAAGTGAATAGATTTATTCTAATTTAAATTTATTATTATGCTACATTCTTAATCGGTGTCCAACAGGTGAAACATCCTGTAAATCTCACTAGTTTAGGTCATAAGTTAATTGAAGCTAGACAATTATGGAAAACATGGGGGCACTGGACGGCTGTTTCGTCCTATTGTGGGACTCCTCAGCAGTGTGCATTCACGACCCTGTAAATTCTTAAAACATATAATGTCAATTTCAACACTTCTTAAGGTTGACGAGGAACCCAGAAAAAAACACTATCCATCATAAAACCTTGTATATATTCAGAGAGAGAAAAAGAAATTGTAGTAATTTAATAGTTGAATTCATGATCCGATTAAAGTTAGGCCACCACTGAAAACCTGGAAGCAACGGACAACCGTTCCGTTTTAATATGAGACTCCACAGTAGTGCATATCCATGATACCAAATACGAGATTCGAACCCAGGACCTTTAATCTTGCGATCAAACTCTTAACCTCTTAACCTCTAACAATGTTAATGTCTAATTTAAAATAAGCTTATTATACAAATGTAAAAAAATTAAATAAATACTGACTTACTCTTGCATAAACATACTGACCAACTCTACACGAGAATGGTATTAATACTTTAGCTTTTTTAAAATCAGCATACGAATTAACTCCACAGCAGAAAAACTATTTTTTAAAAAAGAACAACAACAACAATGAAACATTATCTAACATTGAATTAACTCTTTGATGAAGTTTTGCTCTCTGAGCTGGATGGTTTATGTCGTGAAGCTTTCATCGTTCTTCTTCTGAACGACATCATCAGCACAAATTTCTACCTGAAGTAGAAGAACAACGAAAGCTCCACGACATAAACCATCCAGTTCAGAGAACAAAACTTTATCAAAATCATCCATCTGAGCTGCAAATCTTTTCCACCATTGAATTAACTTACTTTTCTATGTAATTCATCAAATTCATCTGCATATTCATCATTCTTATAATAATATTTAATAGTAGTATCTAATGCTTGTTTAGCACGTATAAAAAACTATAATAAATATTTAATTATGATTCTATTAGAACTAACTTGATGATCAGTTATCAATGTTACAATAGCTATACATAGATTGATGATTGTTGCTATGGACAAACAAATTACATGCTAAAATATAAAAATTTGATTGTATCCAAGTGAAAATTAAAAAAAAAACTTACTAAAAGATATAAAATATTCATTTGTTTCCATAATCCAATAAATCCTAAACATGCTGTTATTAAACCAAGACTTCCTGTAAATATTCCTGTTGGATAAATAGCCGGTATTGTATATTGTAATATTAATTTATATTTAAGTAGATTATCCTCGGCTTTTATACTTAATACAAATAATATAAAACTTGTTACCTAGAAGAGAACAGAATAGAATACAAAAGAACAAAATAGAAGTTTGTATCATCTTTTAAAAAGAAAAAGGAAATACACCATGAATAACTGAGAAGTACTGAATGACTGTTTCATTGTGGATGTGTAGTACTAAAAAGTTCTATACTAGGATGTAATGGTTGTTCAGTACTTCTAGGTTTTCATTGGTGGTCTAACTTTAATTGAATTATGTGAATTCAACTATTAAAATGATTAAAATCTCCATAAAACTGCCCCGCCCTTTCTGATAATAATTAAAGATTTCAACGATTGAGATCATAAATCAATTGAAGCTAGACAACCATGGAAAATATGGAAGCACTGAACGGTTGTTTCATCCTATTGTGAAACTCCACAACAGTGCATATCCACGATACCGCCTCAAGAGATTTGAACCATTAGACCACAGCTATTCAATACTTCTAGGTTTCTCATAATGATCTAGCTTTAATCGATTCATGATCTCAACTATTAAAATCATTATAATATTCATAAAAATTAAATATTTACTTACGGCAACAAAACAATTCAATATAATGAATACAAGGAACCAAAATTTTTGTGTCAACTGAAATTTCATCATAATTTATGATTAAATGTTAATGAGATGAATGAACCTTGTTTTGTTCTTTATTATTATTTTTTTCTAAGCTGTTATGATTGTTATGTAACAATAGACATGTAATGATGGAATCATTATAAGGAGAATAGTACACTTAAATTATATGAACAAATCTATAAAGGACTATTTACAAATTACAAATGATGATTGATAATATTCAGACTAAACATACCAAAAATGTATGTTCTTGATGTTTTAATATATATGTGTGTATGTGTGCGTGTGTGTGCGTGCGTGTGTTTGTGTGTGTGTGTGTGAGAGAGAGAGAGATAGAGAGTAAATGTATCGTAATATGTCAATTAATTATAAATTTAGTAGTGAATTAAGGCAAAAATAAAAACGAAGAAGAAGAAACAGAAAAAACGTTTACCTCTTTTGTTGTTCACATGGTACTTTCAGCAGGTATGTAACAATAAACCACACAAAAAAAACAACAAACAATCAAATTGGTTTGCGTAGTTTTGTGTATTCCGTTAAAGTGATTTTTATTCTGAGTTAAAATCAATAATAATGAGCTTAGTAACAGAAGCATTTAAGAAGTATTATTGAATGGTTCAATTAAAAACAAAACAAAACATGTTTACTTCATGTATATTTTCAGAGTATTCTATAATGCCATATATTTACTTTCATTTCACAATTACGTAATTACTATTAAAGAACTATTGGATAAAAGGGATTAGTAAACATTTTGTAGTGGTTTTGCTTCGTTAATCGATCACCTTAATAGCTGTTATAATATATATTTAAACGGTGATTAAAATCAAAAAGTGAAAAGAACCGGCAACTACAGTTTATTAAAGGATAGCACAGATCGAAAAGCTATAAGCTCATAGGCAAATTTATAGCCAAATTGCATAAGGGTTCAACAATGCAAAGCAAGGACTAATAATAGGATTTAAGTACATACATACATACATACATACATACATGGGGAGGAGGATAAATCATTGAGTGATAGTTATGCAACCAACATTTTACGAAGTTGAGAGGATGAAAAGCGAATATCCGGTGCTATAACCGGGTCGGTGGACATGGAGGGTCCACCTAGGGGGGTTGGAAAACCCTAATTTCAAACCAATGGTGCATATGGGCTCCAGTATCCTGAAGGAACAAATGGCATATGAACCAATCGTTGGTCACTGGCTACCATGGGAATGCATCTCCTTACGTTGCTCCACTGCCTTGTGGATCAGAGCTTCAGGTCGAAGGCTTGGGGTGTGGCCCCCTAAGAAAACCACCTGCTTCGGTTTGGGCACCCGGGCAGTATCACAGCCTTCACACAAATCAAATGGGATGTGTGGCGCGTATGTATTTGGTGCCTCCTTGTACCAATATCTGTGTGTTAAAATAATAATAATAATAAGGTATCCATCTCAGACAATGGATGAATGTTTGCGCAAGATCATGAATCGATTGAAGTTAGACAGTATCATGTGACATAACCTTGTCTTTGTGCTAAAGCAATGACATGTCAACCAGCAATAACAGCATTGCGTCAACTCTGATATAGTAACATACCTAACAGCCCTGCTCATTCAGTCCAGAACACAATCTCAGTCTTCACTTTATGAATCGTATATTTCAGACATAGATTGTTTATATACAAGCAGACCAGACCATATTAAACCATAAAATAAAAAGTAATAATCACACAAGATCAAGCCCGGAGTGGCTGTCAGTATGGGAGACCGTAACCAATAGATTAGGAAAAAATTAAGAATTATAAGTCGGATAACAGTAGCTAATAGATCACAGGAAAGATTATGATAAAAAGAATATAGAAATAGATAATGTAGTTACTTTAAAATTTTCCGATGATGTATGTGACAACTTACTTACTCCTGTTAACCCTTTTCTGGAGGAGTATAAGCCGCTCACCAGCACTCTCCATCCAACCCTGTCCTAAGCAATACTTTCCAGCTCCTCCCAGTTGTTATTCATCCTTTTCATATCTGATTCCATTTCCCGATGTAATGTGTTCTTCAGCCTTCCTCTTTTCCGTTTCCCTTCAGCATTACAAGTTAGGGCTTGCTCCGTGATGCAGTTTGATGATCTCCACAATGTATGTCCTATCCATTTCCATTGTCTTTTCCTAATTTCCTCTTCAGATGGAAGGTGGTTTGTTCTCTTCCACAGGAGGCTGTTACTGATGATATCCGGTCAATGGATGTTGAGTATCTTGTGTGGGCAACTATTCATAAATACTTGTACCTTCTTGATGGTGGTTGTAATAGTTCTGCATGTTTCAACTCCATACAATAGAACTGACTGTCTTGACGTTCGTATTGAAAATTCTCACTTTGATATTAGTTGAAAAGTTGTTTTGAGTTGCATATGTTCTTCAACTGTAGGAATGCGACCCTTGCTTTGCCGATCCTTTCATTTACGTCTGCATCTGAACCTCCTTGTTCATCGATGATTTTTTGCAGGTATGTGAAGTATTTCACATCTTCCAGAGTTTCGCCATCAAGAGTTACTGGATTGCTGTTCACCGTGTTGTGTTAGAGGATATTGTTTTTCCATTTGTTCTTCGTTCGGATGTAACAAATACTCTACATCATCTGAAGGTCACGCTCAACTTCTAATTAATATTTGAACTTATTCAAATCTAGGATGCAAAGTACCATAAATGCCAATTGGTTGGGATTATATATTTAATGTTATTTAACACAGTTGTGAATAGTTTCAGTCGGTCTAATGAAACCTGAATGATAATCATAATCATGGTTTTTGTCATGAATGACTCGAGTTTCTTACAGTCAGTTCCGGTACATATATATTTTACCAATGAAGTACAATTGAATGTTTTAAGTCAAATTAGTTCTGAGTCAGTATAAGTACCTACTGACGAAATTACAATGTAGATTTCGATTTATTTAAATGCAAAATTTTAAATTTTGTCTTGTATAATACCTCAAACAAAATGAACTTCTCATGAGACATCAGTATCTTATAATTGGCTTCAGAAGCAAGATTTCTTGACATAGACGAAAGTTTATGCTTAACTTTTTACCATACAAACATTTACAATCAGATATCAGTAATAAAAACATTGGTTCAAATTCTTTACATTATTCTGATATACAGAATATGATTACTTTGAGTGGAAAATGAAGATTGACGTGTTTAAATATTCGGCTGCATTTAGTTTCCTTGGGCTTCACGTTATCCAGATAGTTGATTTACAGTGATTATTATCTTAGTGTTGCTCACACTCTTTCTCTTTCTCCTTGTGATCGAGTGGATCATGAAGACGTCAACATCTAGGGGGGAAGCATGGAATACACTGGACAGCTGGGATGCTGCTGGATGACCTAGACTTCGCAGATGATCTGGCTCTTCTATCGCACACACAACAACAAATGCAAGAGAAGACGACCAGTGTAGCATCAGCCTCAGCAGAAGAAGGTCTCAAGATACACAAAAGGAAAAGCAAGATCCTCTGATACAACACAGAATGCAACAATCCGATCACAATTGACGGAGAAGATTTGCAACATGTAAAAACCTTCACATATCTGAGCAGCATCATTGATGAAAATGGTGGATGTGATACAGATATGAAGGGGCCGATCGGCAGGACATGAGCAGCATATTTTCAACTGAAGAATAACTGGAACCCAAAAAAACTATCAAACAACACCGAAGTCAAAATTTTCCATACAGATGTCAAGAAACTTCTACTATCTATCTATCTATCTATCTATCTATCTATCTATCTATCTATCTATCTATCTATCTATCTATCTATCTATCTATCTATCTATCTATCTATCTATCTATCTATCTATCTATCTATCTATCTATCTATCTATCTATCTATCTATCTATCTATCTATCTATCTATCTATCTATCTATCTATCTATCTATCTATCTATCTATCTATCTATCTATCTATCTATCTATCTATCTATCTATCTATCTATCTATCTATCTATCTATCTATCTATCTATCTATCTATCTATCTATCTATCTATCTATCTATCTATCTATCTATCTATCTATCTATCTATCTATCTATCTATCTATCTATCTATCTATCTATCTATCTATCTATCTATCTATCTATCTATCTATCTATCTATCTATCTATCTATCTATCTATCTATCTATCTATCTATCTATCTATCTATCTATCTATCTATCTATCTATCTATCTATCTATCTATCTATCTATCTATCTATCTATCTATCTATCTATCTATCTATCTATCTATCTATCTATCTATCTATCTATCTATCTATCTATCTATCTATCTATCTATCTATCTATCTATCTATCTATCTATCTATCTATCTATCTATCTATCTATCTATCTATCTATCTATCTATCTATCTATCTATCTATCTATCTATCTATCTATCTATCTATCTATCTATCTATCTATCTATCTATCTATCTATCTATCTATCTATCTATCTATCTATCTATCTATCTATCTATCTATCTATCTATCTATCTATCTATCTATCTATCTATCTATCTATCTATCTATCTATCTATCTATCTATCTATCTATCTATCTATCTATCTATCTATCTATCTATCTATCTATCTATCTATCTATCTATCTATCTATCTATCTATCTATCTATCTATCTATCTATCTATCTATCTATCTATCTATCTATCTATCTATCTATCTATCTATCTATCTATCTATCTATCTATCTATCTATCTATCTATCTATCTATCTATCTATCTATCTATCTATCTATCTATCTATCTATCTATTTATCTATCTATCTATCTATCTATCTATCTATCTATCTATCTATCTATCTATCTATCTATCTATCTATCTATCTATCTATCTATCTATCTATCTATCTATCTATCTATCTATCTATCTATCTATCTATCTATCTATCTATCTATCTATCTATCTATCTATCTATCTATCTATCTATCTATCTATCTATCTATCTATCTATCTATCTATCTATCTATCTA